AGCCAAAACTGACCTTTGCTTCTGCCAGTCTCTTTTTTTTGTGTGTGTGTGGGGTGGGGAGGGTCGGGTTGTGGAGCCTGAACTCTGGGCCTGGGCGCTGTCCCTCAGCTCTTCAGCTCAAGGCTAGTGCTCTACCACTTGAGCCGCAGCGCCACTTCCGGCTTTTTTCTTTTTGCTTATGTGGTGCTTAGGAATCGAACCCAGGGCCTCATGGGTGCAAGGCAAGTGCTCTACCACTGAGCTACCTTCCCAGCCCCCTCTTCCAGTCTCTTTTGCTGCCTTGTTTTCTCCTGTGTGGAATTGCCAGTCACAAGCAGTAGACCACTTGTGTTGGCTTCTGGACAGGGCCTGTGGTTTGGACTCCAGCGGCTCTGCCCCTCTCTCCAGCCGCATGCCTCCGTCACGGGGTCCCCAGCACTCTGCCCCGTGCCCATCCAGTGGTGGTGTCATGGATACCGGACCTCTGTTCTGCCTCACATTGACACTCATGATTTCTACGTCCTGGCACTCATATTTTTTTCTTGATGACCTTGAATGTATTTGTAGGGATCGGCTGCATGCTTCGTTCAGCCAGCTCCAGATCTGTTTCTGTGCCTGGCTTCCCTTTAGTACACATCAGTGTTTGGTTTGTTAGCTGCCATTACACAACAGATGAGTAGCTGGTGCCCTGTGGGGTATTCCTACCCTCTGCAGCTCTGCATCCACTGCTTAGCTCTCGGGCCCTTACTTTCCAGAGTCTCTAACCTTTGGGCTGGAGCTTGGCAGGTGGTGTAGGGCCTGGCCCACGTGGTTCCCTTCTCTCAGCAACCACAAGTTTCTTCATGCCAAAGGCAGCTGCCTCCTGTGTCCCTTCCTTGTTGTAGTGCTGGAGGCCAGGGGAAGCTGTTACTTTACCTGGGGCCATCTCCTGCAGATAGACTAGATGCCCCGTGTGCATGCTTATGCCCACGGGCTGCATGCTTTGTGCTGAAGACTTCCTCCTTCCCAAGAAAGAATAGACTTCAGAGGATATAATACCTCCCACATCTGTCAAACTGAACAGCTGGACTTGGCCAGAATTTGATGAGAGTTAGGTGAAGGCCTTTACCGCGTGCATCCATCCTAGTGCTGCTGTGTGAAGCTGAAGCTGTGGCGCAGCCCTGGGGCTGCAGAGCATCTTTCCTTCCTTCCTGCAGGTCTTTTTGGGGTTCTCCTTTTGTCTCATGCTTGTGACTCCCCACAAATGGGTTTGCCGGCCTGCTTTTTGAGTGGAATGAAGGGGAAGACACCCACAGCTCCTGGCTTTGGAATGGTGAGGTAACAGGTTCCTTTCACGCGTCTGCACAGAGTGCAAGCAACTGGCTTTGTAGATGTGGTTGTGGCCATTGTGTAGCAGAGGGTGACCGCCACGGGCTATCTTTTGGCCTTTCCTGCTGCAGCATTATGGCATGTGTCATGCTGGTGTGGTGCTTAGGTGTGACCACAGCTTGCAGCTACCAAGCTGTAGCCAGAGCCAGCCCAGCCACTTTGGGACAGCCTGAGACCTACCGCCCTGTTACATGCTCTTCAGCATTTTGTGCCTGTTAGCACAGCTGCTGTCTCAGTATCACCATGGTCACCCGCAGTGTAGAAGATGGCAGAGGTAGCGTTCTGTGCTTCCCAAAGCCCCATGGCAGCGCCAGGGCTCCACACGGGCACAGCTGTCCAGCATGTGTGCTGCTCTCGTGGTGGACTCAGCCCCTGCCTCTCATGGAGTGCAGGGCTCCTGGCCGGCGGCCCTGGTGCTCAGCGGACAGCGGTGGGCTTGGTATGAAGTCCTGAGGAGACAGCACTGCCTCTGAGCTCTGCAGTGCCCGTGCACGGGAGACACTGGAGTTGTGGAGTTCCAGCCCTCAGCTTCCAGTGTGGCTGTGGCACAGAGGCAGTTACCCAGGACAGCCATACCGGGGGTATCTGGAAGGCCCCGGCAGGGATTGGGGCCTGCAGCCCCGCCCTCCACCTCTGGGTGGAGGGCTGGTAGAAAGCAGCCAGGTGCATTTGTTAAAATAGCACTAGTAGAGCTGGGCACTGGTGGCTCACACTAGTAATCCTAGCTACTCAAGGCTAAGATCTAAGGATTGTAGTTCAAAGCCAGCCCAGGCAGGAAAGTCCATGAGATTTATCTCCAATTAACCACCAAAAAGCCGGAAGTGGAGCTGTGTGGCTCAAGTTATGGAGTACTAGCCTTGAACAAAAAAAGCTAAGAGATGGAACCCAGGCCCTGAGTTCAAGCCCCAGGACTGGCACCAAATAAAACCCCAAAACAATAGCAACAAGAGAAAATCCAGTATTCTATACCTCATTATACTAAGTGCTTACTACAAAATGAAAGGTACTGGCTGACGACTCTAACACTGCTATGAACCGCCCCCCCCAAAAAAAGCCACTTAAAAGTCAATTTCAAAGAAAAGGAGGAGCTTTTCCTGTTACATGCATGGGGTCTGTGCGTACAGGGTGGTCCCCCGTGTGAGGTTTGGTCAGCTGCGCGGCCGTCCACCACAGCCAGTCTCCCCGTCCCATGTGTTAGAAACAGCTGGGGATGTGGAGGTGTCCTGTGAATCAGGACACCCAATTCAAAAGGCAGAGTTTATGTTGGCTGAAGGGTGCGTCTGTGGCTAAACCTGGCAAGCCAGCACGTGAGTGGCAGGCTGCCCACACACACACAGTGGGGGGGGGGGGACACAGTCGGGGGAGGCCCCCTCTGCTCATGTCGGTCATGCTCTGGTTCACCATCGTCGAAGGGATGTGGCTTAATTACCAGTTCTTGTCACTTGGGAAGTACAGGGTTGCCAAAAGGAGACCACCATATGGCCCAGGCAGATCTAGGTGTGCAGAGAGAAGGGAGGATGGAGAGAGGAGACTGAGGAGGAGGTGTGGCCACAGCAGATGTGGAGGTGACTCAGAGCCTGGGGCCTCCCGCTATCCCAGGTGCACCGATTACCTGGGTTACGCATGCCTGGCGAGGACTTCTAGGGGAGCCGTGGTTCAGTCTTGCACCAAGAACAAAGGGGGAGGGGTCTGCGTGCCCTTTTGCAGGGAGAGAAAACAAGAGAAGGGACAATTTTTCCTGGAGGACCTCACAGAAAACAAACCACGCAGCGCTGCTTTGCTGGGCAGGCAGGCCCTGGAGCCAGGAGGGTCACGGGGGTCTTCGGGTGCTGGGGCAGCATAGACACAGGTGGCCGTGGGCGGGGCCGTCTGCTGCCCCCCGTTGGTTCGTGTCCCGTTGGGTGAGGCCTGGCTGACCAGCATCCTTCCGTGGCTTCACGCTGTGCTGGGAGCTGGCGCGGTGCCAGCCGCCCTGGTGCGTGCCATGGTCGCTCTATCCCCAGATGTTGGCGCTCCCGGCAGGGGAGAGCAGGAACGTGGAGTGATGCGCTGGTGGTTGACGCTAGGTCCGTTCGGGTGCCCAGTCCACCGTGAGTTGCTCGACTGTGTGCCACAGCCTGGTCACCTCTGCCATCCTGGCGCTCAGCTCTGTGTCTCAGCTCTGGCACACGTCTGCAGCCCGCTCTCCAGTGCTCTGGCTGGCCTCTCCTTGCTTTTGACCAGATTGTGTTACGATGACTGCTGGTTCCACTGAGGTGAAGCCCAACCGCCACCCTTGGGAGGGCATCTCCCGGTCGGGCCTGGCGTGGGCACCGCCGGGGGCAAGCGCCAGCCTGACCCCTGAGGCTTGTAGAAGGCCAGCTGGGCAAAGCCAGTTTTTGATGAAGGATAGCCTGAGCTGACCTGTGCCTCTAGTTCCCAGAAGGGCACGGAAGGAGGACTTCTGCTCTCCGAGGCCGTCCCACTGCCCGAGCAGAGGTTCCGGGGCAGAGCTGAGAGGCCACCTCTCCCGCCCCGAGGTGTGGAGCTGTGGGGGTCCTCTGCCTGTCCCTCCGTGAGGGGCCCTGGGGCAGGCAGGGTGGAGGCAGGCTGCTGGGGAGCTGACTTGGAATTCCACAGAAGCAGCCAAAAACGTCAGGGGAGACGTGCCAGGGGAAGATGGCCTGGAAGGAAGGCGCCTCGGGCTCAGCACTGGGACAGCCAAGCCCTTCTGCCGCCCGTGGAGCGCGTTCTGGCTTCCAGTGCTGGAGGATGAGGCGGCACAAGAGGGGAGACCTGGGCCGCTTCGCGGGGCACACAGGGCAGCCTCTCGGAAGGCGGCAGGCAGGCTTGTGCTGCAGTCACCACCGGGGTCTTAGGGCGGCAGACGTCTCGGAAGGCGGCAGGCAGGCTTGTGCTGCCGTCGCCACCGGGGGCTTAGGGCGGCGGACGTCTGTTGCTGTGGCTCCTCTGCAGCAGTTTGGCAGCCAGCTTGGGCAGACTGGACTGGTCTTTGAGACAACTTGAAGGCCTCATAACAGGGTCCAGATGTAAGGAGCCAGCCACTCCCCAACTTGCTTTTTGTGTGTATGCCTGTACTGAGACTTGAACTCAGAGCCTGGATGCTGTCTCTGAGATTTTTGCTTAAGGCAGGGACTCTACAATTTGGGCCACAGCTTCATTTCCAGTTTTTTGGTGATTATTTGGAGATAAGAGTCTCATGGACTTTTCCTGTTCTGACTGGGTTTGAACTGCGACCCTCAGATCTCAGCCCCCTGAGTAGCGCTATTGCAGGCATGAGCACCAGAGGCCAAGCGTGCCTGTGTCCCGTGTGATGTCCTTGTAGCGGAAGATGACTCACCCCTTGCAGAGGCAGGGTGCATGGCGTCCACGCTGATCGATCTGCCCCAAAGAGCCTTTCTTTCAGACCTTCTAGCAGTTCTGCTGTCTGCACGTGCAGCACCTTAGCAAGTTCTCCCGTGATAGCGTGACCACGCACACGTACATAAACCCACGTGAGGCCCTGGGTGGACAGTCCTTGCGGAAGATCCCTGAGTCCTGTGACTTAGCTCCTGTGTTACAGGGAGGCTTAGGAACCGGTGAGAACACCGCCCTTCCTGTGTGGCTTCCCGACTGTTGACACCGTGCCTGGATGCTGTCTTTGTCTGTTTCAGGGAAATAGTGGAGCACATGGTCCAGCACTTTAAAACACAGATCTTTGGGGATCGGAAGCCAGTGTTCGATGGAAGGAAGAATCTTTACACGGCGATGCCCCTTCCAATCGGGAGGGATAAGGTAAGGCCGCAGTGTGGGGTGCTGGAGTGAAACTCGCTTTACAAAGTAGTTAATGATTGCTGTGCATCACGGGAGAGCCATTAAGCTTACCTTCCCCACGACATGGTTTCGGTAGTGGGGGGGTGAGTACAAATTCCCAGCACTTCCCTCCCCTCCTTGCCGACGAAGCGGGGTGCAGCCTGTGCTGGCACGGGGAGCCGTGTTGCTGGCAGCACACAGGTGAACATGCTTCTTAGCCAACGACTCATCTGAATTGGAATGAGGAAGATCAGTCCCCTGTGGAATGGTGGTTACAGTAACACGTCGCCTTCTGCCCTGTTTATCCTGTGGCAGCTTTATTTACAAAGTGAAACAGTTTCTGCCCAGAAGTTGTCACTTCCACAGGAATTTGCTCCTGGGTGATGGCAGGGATTGCAGGGCTGCAAAGGAGGGCGAGCTCAGAGATAGCTGGGAGATCAGCCCAGGTAGGGTTGATTGTCTCCTGAACAGTTCTGGGGTAGAACAGAGCTCCACGTGGTCACCGCTGGACGAGGATATGCATTGTTTAGGGAGAAGTGAGAGACCACATTTTCTATAGACACAAGGATGTCGGGGCATTTGCATTTTCCCCTTCATCTTAAAGGTGTGAGCTCCTTGCATCCTATTGGCCTGTCTGTGTGTCCAGCAGCATCCAGGATGAGGGCACCCAGTGCTTTTGCCCCACATCTCCATGCAAGAGGACGGGGCAGGCTGGGAAGGTGGCTCAGTGGTAGAGTGCTTGCCTTGCATGCATGAGGCCCTGGATCTGATTCCTCAGCACCACCACATAAGCAGAAAAGTCTGAAGTGGTGCTGTGGCTCAAGTGATAGAGCGCTAGCCTTGAGTTGAAGAGCTGAGGGATAGCGCCCAGGCCCCATGACGGACAGATTAAAAAAAAGAGGACAGGGCAAAGACCAAGTGACCAGTCACAGCTCTGAACAGCATGGCACTCCTCAGGCTACCAGCGGTACCTGGGTTACCAATGGCGCCTTGAGGTGATGAGCCACGCACCCGAAATTGGAGGGGGATCCAGGTCAGTGTGAGTCCGAGGGGTAGGAGCTCCCTTGCAAATTAACTTGCTCTGAATGTGACGTTCACCCATCATACAGTTCACATTTCATTGGCTCCATGTGCATTTACGTTGGGTTGCACTCAGAGCCTGAGTGCTGTTCCTGAGCTTTTTTGCCAAGGCTGGTGCTGGACCACTCTGACTTTCTGCTGGTTAATTGGGAATAAGAGTCTCACAGACTTTCCTGATCTTCAGATCTTAGCCTCTGGAGTAGCGAGGATTACAGCTGTGAGCCCCCAGCTCAGCTGCTCACTTACGCACTTATTTTTGTTGAAAGTTATATAAGAAAGAAAAGCATGCCAGGCATCTGTGGCTCACACCTGTAACCCTAACTACTTAGGAGGCCGAGATCTGAGGATCACGGTTCAAAGCCAGCCTGGGCAGGGAAAGTCTGTGAGACTTTTATCTCCAATAAACCACTTAGAAAACCGGAAGTGGTGCTGTAGCTCTAGTGGTAGAGTGCTTACCTTGAGCTGAAGAGCTGAGAACCCAGAGTTCAAGTCTCACAACCAACCAAAAAAAGAAAAGAAAACAAGCATAGCAGGAGCTGTTCAGTTTCATGTGTATATATCATGACGAGGCTCTGGGAGGAGGCAGTGGAGAGTGTCCTCAGGGGTGGGGAGGGGTCTTGTGTTAAATTTCGCATTGTCGTGGGGAGCAAGCATCGTGGGCTGGGGGCGAAGGAAGCGCCCTCTCCCTGCCAGGCCTCCACAGCCTCCCAGGCAGAGTGGAGGGCAGGTTTTCATTTTGGGGCTGAGTTCTCTGCCAGTGCCAGTTGCCTCCTCTCTGGTCCCACACCACAGGTGATAGTGAGCCCCTGGCAGAAAGTGGGTACGGAGCTCCTCCACCACCCTCACTTGCATGAAGAGCATTTTGGGGGTACCTGCTCCCTGTGAGTCCTTCATGCCCCGGCTAATGCCCGGTGACATTCAGCGTCTCTTAACCCTGGCTGCCCTTGTCAGGCTGACCAGCTGGAAGGAGCTGGTGCACTGCCCACACCCAGCAGGCATGGGGTTATGTTTCTCCCCCTTGCATGTCAAGTCCTGTGACAGTCCTGAGGCTCCAGCCCCTCCTCTGGGCCCCCATTTCTGCAGGGCTTCTATTTTCTCACTTGCCCTGTGTTCTTTGCCTGGCCTGTAGTAGGAGAGAAATCACCAAGAGTCCGGTAGTCTGGCACCTGCGCAGAGACTCAGCGGGGGCTGGGGCTGTGAGTACAGGTGCCTGCACAGCATCCTTGTTACATGCTCTTCCTGGGGAGGGCTCCCATAAGGAATTCACCTGCCTGCCTGGCTTCTGGCTTCTGGAAGACCAGCCCCACCTGCTGAGCTCCTGTGAGCACTGGGCCAAAGACATAGACTTGGTTGTGCAAGTTGCTCAGAATCCAGTGCTTTGTGCCCTTTCTCAGAAACACAAGGTGATGTCCCTGGCTCTGGTGCAGCCGGACTCTGCTGATCAGACCACCCACCGGAGATGTGCAGCCTTCTGGTCAGGGAGAGGTGTCAGAGCCCTGGCTGGATGGCTTTGGTACAGCTCAAGTGGGCACACAGCTGCACACACTCTGCCCAGAAACAGCTTGCTGTGGGGGAGTTCAGCCACACATAGGACTACTGCCACACATTCTGGTGCCTGTTCATCTCCAGGTGTGTCTGGGCCCAGCCATCCACGGCCACAGGAGTCCCTGCAGGTGTCTGGGGGAAGGCGTCTGCTGGCCAGGAGGCCAAGGCGTGGCAGGCCTGCAGGCAGGGCACGGAGGAAGGGTCATAGCACCACGGGGGTCCAGGTGCCTGGAGGCCGCCCCAGCACCTGCCCTGTCCCCTGCCGGTGCCTGTGGGTTCCAGTACTTCACTTGATGCCCTGGCTAACACTAGTTTTGGTGCTAGGAGGTGCCCGTTCCCCTGTGGTTCTGAAGGTTGGGTGTTGTGTGTCAAAGACCCTGAAGTGCTTCAGTCAAAGGTGCCCAGGCAGGGAGCCCTGCAGCTGCTCTGGCCTGGCTGGGTGGGTGCAGTATGTGTGCCAGGACCTGGAGTCCTGTGGCACCGGCGTCCGCTGGTGCCAGCTGCCTCCCCGCGCCCCCCCCCCCAGCGCACCTCTGGTTTAGTTGAGTGTCGCAGTACCCAACGGGTCTTCCCTCTGCCTCCGTGTTCCCGGACCTGAGCTCCCCCAGGCGGACTCTGCCTGGTAGAGCTGGCAGGCTGGCCTGGCGGTGGTCAAGGCCAGTGGGGGCTGCAGCTGCACTTCTAGGTGGGGCCCCTGGGGTGCTGTGTGATTGGCCACGGACACAGGTGAGGCCAGCTCTCCAGAGAGCCCCAAGCTACCATGCCCCGTGGGTGGGACGGCACACCAGAGTGGCGCAAGGAAGGCGCAGTCCAGGCTGCACTTTGCAGCTTACAGTATGAGACTGAGAAAACACACAGGCCTGGAATGTTCTGAACAATATCAGTAAGCCTGTGCTAGCATGGGGAATACCCTTGCTCTCTCCCCACTGGTGTGGTAGAAACGGGGGGCTCGCAGTGCCCCCAGTGTTGGTAGTGCCAGGCTTTCACTTGTGATCACTGCCACATGGCGTCAGGCCATTTTCTGCACAGTGGAAGGAAGGGCTCGTTCTTGCTGCTCTAGCAGCAGGCATTCTGTCATAGAAACCAGGTCTCTGCGGGTCTGCAGTGGACCTCCCCTCCCCCAGCCTGGCAGGCCAGGCCTTGGTCACACCCTGGCCTCATTGTTTTGCCCTGTGGTCTGGGAGACTTGTGTGTCTGTCCGTCCATCTGTCTGTCCGTCTGTCCTGAGGCTAGATGTACTAGATGTACTGTCCGTGAGCTTTTTGTGCTCAGGGCTACCACTCTACCGCCTGAGCCATTGCTCCTCCAATTCTGGCTTTTTAAGTAGTTAATCGGAGTTAAAGTCGCACAGACTGCAATCTGCCGGGCTGTTCGTCACAGTGGAGGTGGAGCAGATGGGAGGATAACGGGTTGTTAGCGAAGTTAGTCATGTCAGGATGCTGTTTCATCTCCTCTGTGTTAAGGCGTTTGAAGTCCGTTCTGTCTAAGGTGGGCCTCACCTAGGGCTGGTGAAGATGCCAGCATCTCTGCAGGTGGCAGTGTGCGGTCTGTCCATTGCACTTGTGATGATTGAGGAAAATGTAGCAGGACACACACACAAACATACAAACCCTAACACCTCCCCACCCCCACCCCTATCCCCAACCCCATCTCCACCCCATCCCCAAGTCCTCGGAGGTCTCTGGCTCTAAGGATGAGCAGGTGTGAGCTGGTGGGTGCGTAGGCCAGCAAGCCAGTAAGTGTGCTGGCTACTTAAAACAGTGAAGCACAGGTGTGAGTAGGTAGCGGCGCTGTGTCAAAAACTGTAGACACAGGGTGCGTCTGGCCTCTAGGCTGTGACAGAACACCAGGCTGGGGTGAGCCCTGTTGTTGGGATATTTGGGCCTTTAAGGACAAAAAGTGCACATAGTCCGTGGCCTGTCAGAATGCTGTTCTAGAAACGGGGGGCTATGTCAGCAGCAGCTGACATAGCTGCATGGAGTCACCCGAGGGGCTTGAGTGCTGCATTTGGAGGTGTTCAGGGCCCAGTGCTGAGCCAGCATGGCTCTGTGTCAGGCGCCAGGCAGGCAGGTGAACGCAGCGGGGCATAGAGGCAGCTGGGCACGTGCAGGTGGTCCAGAGGAGTGAGTGTGGAGGGCCTGCCAGCCCCTGTGCTGGCCGCCAGGACTGAATTCATTAGACGTAACGAGACAGCCGGGCCCTGGTGGCTCACGCCTGTAATTCTAGCTACTCAGGAGGCTGAGATCTGAGCATTGTAGTTCAAAGCCATTCCGGGCAGAAACATCTGTAAGATTCTTGTCTCCAGTTAACAACTTGAAAACTGGAAGTTTAGCTATTGCTCAGAGTGGTAGAGCGCTAGCTTTGAACAAAAAAAGCTCAGGGAGAGCACCCAGGCCCTGAGTTCAAGCCCTATGATGGACAAAAAGGAAAAAGAAATTGACAGGGGGAAGCGGTGGCACAAATGTGTAGAGGTGTAACAGGCGCTCTCCTCCCTGTGTAACCGACAGGGGCTTAAAATTAGTAGTGCTGAAAATCCAGTTTCTTGATCACATTCTGAGTGCCATGCTGCCGTGCGGAGGCCCGCGCTCAGCTTCTCCAGCCTGGCAGTGTCTCGATTGACCGCGCCCAGCCTGTCCCGGAGGCTTCCGGGGAGGAGTGACCACGTGTCTTTGTGTGTGCAGATGGAGCTGGAGGTCACGCTGCCGGGGGAAGGCAAGGACCGCATCTTCAAGGTGTCCATCAAGTGGGTGTCCTGTGTGAGCCTGCAGGCGTTACACGATGCACTTTCGGGACGGCTGCCCAGTGTCCCCTTTGAGACGATCCAGGCGCTGGACGTGGTCATGCGGCATTTGCCCTCAATGAGGTGAGACCAGCGTGCGGAGCAGCTACCTGTCAGCAAGTGCGAACAGAGCTGAGAGACCGGGACAGACCAGCCAGGGGTGATGGCCATGTGGGTGTTCTGTGGGGAAGACAAGACCAGCGGTGCATTTTATATGAGATGAAAACATTTCATTGAAAAGTCACGGGCATCCTCAGCTGAGCGTGGAAGCCCCTCCCACCTCCCTGTCTGTGCCTCCGTTGTTGACACACTCCGATGTGGGCATCACTTTGGTGGCCCTGCCACTGTCCTCTGTTTGGTGCCTGGAGCAGATTAATGTGCCACCCTGGGGGAACCTTCTCCACGGCAGCACCGGCAGTGTTCACGCTCCTGCCTGAATTCCAGGGAGGCCACAGATGACGGTGCTTGGCACCTCTGCGAGTGGGAGGTACACATGCCGTCACCTTGCCTGGTTGTGGGTAGAAATTTCATGAAACGCGTGTGGAAGCAAGGCCAGTGCACGAGGTCCACATGTGGCCCTCACACTGTGCCGTACGCACACCTGTGCTCACACACAAGACCTGAGGGCCAGAGAGAGCAGAGATCTAAAGCTGAAACCTGCAGGCGTGGCCGGGGTGCTCAGAAGAGAGCTGGGGCTCTTCCTTGCTCTTCCTGACTGCTAGAGAACCAGCGTGGAGCCACGCTTTAGGTGTAGAGGTGACAAAGCCAAGACCGGCTGCCACCCTTGGCAAGGCCCAGCATGTAATGGAATTGGTGCTTAGAACCCTTGGCAGGAGGGAGACCGGCCGCTGCCACAATGGAGTCTATTTTTACTTGAGTGGCAGGCATTACTCGGAGGTTTTTTTTCCTGAATTCCTTTGGACCATTCTCATTAATTGTATAGTCAGGGAGGAAAAACTACGTATCTCAAGTAGGAAGTGCATAGACCATCTTGCCTGGCTTTGTTACCATGGAACTGCCCACCCAGGGTCACGTGGCCCTGCGTTGGGTGGGAGAGGGTGGCGGAGGCCCAGCCGCCCATGGGGGAGCCCACTGGACACACTGTCCTGTGTGGGTGTCCGGGCACACCTGAATAAGGTCGGAGATGTCCCATGTGGACCTTCCTGTCCCCCTGCATCTCTGTGTGCAAGCTTAAGCCCTGAGATCAGAGATGCTGCACTCCAGACAGTAGCCAACCAGAGCTTAGCTAGCAGTGGTCTCCCTGAGGCCTGGGGCCCACAGCTCTGCTGTGGATTTGTGGCCATGTGCTCAGCCGCCCATACTGGAAGATTAAAAAGTGAGAATGAAGATCTTAAATGAGGGTAGCTAGGCTAGGGTTAGGAGCCCACAGAGCGGCGTCTGTCTATCCCGAGGCCTGGGCTGTAGCTGTTTCTGGCTCCCCAGGTGACTGTTGTGGAGAGTGAGCCTGTGTTGTGTGTTGTATCCCTAAGCAATGAGCATGTTGGCTCTTGACCCTGGAAGAAAGGCCTCTGGGGTTGTGTTTATCTCCCTCCTCCTCCCCCCGCCGTGTGGTATACTAAACATTGATGTGAAGTTGCAAGTCACTCTCCTGTCCCCCCATGTCAGCCATGAGCGCAGGCTGGAGCGCTCTGCCACGAGCAGGATTTCATAGGGTAAATAAACCAGAACGATCTTGTGTGCAGCCTGTGGTGGCAGAGGGGGTGTGAGGCTGCGGCCCCCTGTGGCCACGTGTGCGTGCGCTCAGTGGCCTCTGGCTTGCAGGTACACCCCGGTGGGCCGTTCCTTCTTCACTGCGTCCGAGGGCTGCTCCAACCCGCTTGGCGGGGGCCGAGAGGTGTGGTTCGGCTTCCATCAGTCCGTCCGACCGTCTCTTTGGAAAATGATGCTGAACATCGATGGTGAGTTGGTGGGGATGGGAGGCCCCCGCGACCAGGCCGGCTGCGGCCTCCATGGATGTCAGCCTCGTGGCAGCTGGCCGGTGTCTCCTCTGTGGTGTCTGAGCCTGAGACAGCGGTTCTCACACTGGTGTCAGGATTCCTGGGAGGGCCCAGCCCCATAGACGGGTGGGGAGGATGTCCCTCAAGACCTACTCCTCAGGCCAGGCCCCAGCTCTCATCAGTGCCATATTAGAATTCCATAAAGGGAGGAATCGATTGATATCAAAATTTCCATGATCCAGTTACTTCCCAAGAGCCCTACTTCTGACTATTGCTTTGGGGACCAAGTCTTCATTTGGCATATGAGCCTTTTGGGGTACACTATATCTAAACCATAAGAGACACTGCTCCTCTCCCTCAGAAGACCCCCACTTCCCCTCTGCTATAGGCCAATGTGCTCTTCTCATTTGAGTGCGTTTGTGCACACATATGTGCGCATGTATAATTCCTGGGGCTTATTAAACTCAAGGTCTGGATGCTGTGCCCGAGTTTTTCTTTCTTTCTTTCTTTTTTTTTTTGGTCGGTTGTGGGGCTTGAACCCTGGGCTTGGGCACTGTCCCTCAGCTCTTCAGCTCAAGGCGAGCACTCTACCACTTGAGCTATAGCGCCACTTCCGGTTTTCTGGTGGTTTTTATTGGAGATAGGAGTCTCACGGTCTCTCCTGCCCGGGCTGGCTTTGAACCGCGATCCTCAGATCTCAGCTTCCTGAGTAGCTAGGATTACAGGCGTGAGCCACCAGCGCCCAGCTGCCCAAGTTTTTCTTGCTCAACAATAGTGCTCTACCACTTGAGCCACAGCTCCACTTCCAGTTTTTTGGTGATTAATTGGAGATGAGTTTCACAGACTTTCCTGTTCAGGCTGGCTTTCAACTGTGAGCCTCAGATCCTGAGCAGCTAGGATTAGTGATGTGAGGCACCAGTACCAACGAAGAGTTACTTATTTTCAAATAATTCTATCAAGGCCTAGATGGTGGATTTTGCTCAGATAGGCGTCTATTCCTAAACAGCCACACAAAAGGTCGGAATTCAGAAATCTGTGCAGAAGATGGTTAGGAGAAACTCTCAAGTCTGAGGATTGCACTGTAGGGATCTGTTGAGATAGGTTAGAAAGTGAGTTCATCTTTCGATTCAGCCAACGCCTTACGCTCTGGCACAGGAATGTGGACATCCCCCTGGCTCAGCATCTTGTTGGGCATTGGGTGTGAGATGTGGGCTTTCTCACCTCAAAGACTAGAGGATGAAACCAGGCACCAGTGGCTAACGCCTGTAATCCCAGCTACTCGGAAGGCTGAGAGAGGGAAGCAGTTGGAAGCAGAAAAGCCCATGAGACACTTAACTCCAATGCCCTACCAAAAAAGCTGCGAGTGGAACTATGGCTCAAGTGGTATAGCGCTAGTCATGAACTTTTTAAAAGCTCGGGGAAAGCACTAAGGCCCTGAATGCAAAGCCCCAGCACTGGCATCAATGAAAATCAAAACACCCACGACTGGAGGATGAGCTCAGAGGAGGGGAGGCTGTGTGTCCTCTGCCCGGACACTGGCCTGCGGAAGCCTCTCCACATCTGTCAGGCTCTCTGTCCTCTTCCGAGTGCTACCTACCACTGAAGTTGTATCTTTGCTTCTTTCTGTTCCTGCCTGCAGTGTCGGCCACGGCTTTTTACAAGGCACAGCCGGTGATTGAGTTTGTTTGTGAAGTTTTGGATTTTAAAAGTATTGAAGAACAACAAAAACCTCTGACAGATTCCCAAAGGGTAAAGTTTACCAAAGAAATTAAAGGTAATGACACACCAGCTAAGAGGCATTGTGGGCTGGGCAGTCCCCCTGAGCCTCTCTTGGCTTGTTGAGGGGTGTTGGTGGTGGACGGAAGGGGCCTGGGGGGAGGTGACGGAAGTGAGGCGCAGTGGGAACAGCAGGAGTGGTGACTTCAGTGGTGTTTGGGTGCAGCTCAGACGGGAGGAGTAGATATGCCCTTGGCCCAGCAGTGTGGTGACCTGCTGCCCACTCCCAAGGCCCATGCCCCTTACACTGGTACGGCCCCATTCAGCCTGGCCTTCATCTCAGCCATTTCAGACCCCGGGTTTCCAGGCTGCTCCTTCAGTGGGCAACATAACACTGGTTTTGGCTGTCTAACAGAAAGCAGCCTGAGTTATGGAGATGGCCTGTGGGGAGCCCAGGCCCCGCCCTTGGGGCGGAGCTATGGATCTGCACACTGCATCCCACACCGGGGCTCTGACGGGCAGGAGATGTTGTGGAGGGCAAGGTAGACCTAGCCTGGGTGTCCTCTTGGCTCCGTGCCCCTCAGAACTGGTGTGTCGCTGCGGTCCTGAGCCTTGCCTCTGACACAGAGCAGGAAGTGGGGGCTGACACCTGCTGCTTGCCTCACAGGTCTAAAGGTGGAGATCACGCACTGTGGGCAGATGAAGAGGAAGTACCGCGTCTGCAACGTCACCCGGCGCCCTGCCAGCCACCAGACGTAAGACGGCTCTCCATTCCTTTCCCACACGGGACCCAGAGCCCCAGCTCAGGCCTCGGGGGTCCCCAAGCTCCTCTGCAGTGTCTCATGCAGGACTGGGCCTCGGCCAGGCCTGGACCAGCCCCCACTGCCATGCTGGAGGCCCATGTGTGTTTCTCCACTGCAAGAACCGTTTGGTGGGCTGGGAAGGTGGCTCAGTGGTAGAGTGCTTGCCTTGCATGCCTGAGGCCCTGGGTTCCATTCCTCAGTACCACATAAGCAGAAAACGCTGGAAGTGGCCCTGTGGCTCAAGTGGTAGAGCGCTAGCCTTGAGCTGAAGAGCTGAGGGACAGCGCCATACCCAGAGGTCAGGCCCCACGACCGACAAAAAAGTAAAAAGAGCCATTTGGTGTCCCAGTCCATATTGTCATCTGTTGACTGTGGCTCTGTAGAGAAAGTGCTCTACCCGTGGTTGCTTACATGGACAATTGCGGCACTCCCAAGGTGGCTGGGCCTTATTTGGCAGCAGGCTGAGACTGGTGAGGTGTGTGCCCGTCACCTCCTTTCCCTGGACTGAGGCAACCATCCCTTGATAGTCCAAACAGAGCAGGAAAGGCCGGGCTGTGTGGCCTGTCCCCAGCTGGAGGCCTGCCTTCCTGAGCCTGCACCCGCTCTTACCATGCATAGAAGCCATGGCTCCCCCCCGGGAGCAGTGTGGGTGCTCCCAAGCTGGTCCTGCCTCAGATCTCACTTCCCCCAGGCACTTCCGCTGGGCACCACAGTCCTAGGTGCAGTGCCTCAGCGCCACGGTGGCTTTTCTAGATTCGTCTTCATTATCCTGAGTTCTCTCTAGATTGTAGGTGTTAGGGAAGTGTGTGATGGTCACTTGTCTGTGACCTACAGGTTAGGGGCAGTGCGAGTGGAGGGCCCTGCCGTTTGCCGGTCAGGACTTGGTTTCCAGTGTTTTCCACAGGTCAGCCCGGCAGGCAGAATGGGTACATAGGCAGCCCCCAGGCTGTGTGCGGCTCCCGGGCTCATTCTCCAGATGCAGGGACATTGCTGTCAACACTCTGCCTCCCTCTCCGCCAGGTTCCCGCTGCAGCAGGAGAGCGGGCAGACGGTGGAGTGCACGGTGGCCCAGTACTTCAAGGACAGGCACAAGCTGGTTCTGCGCTACCCCCACCTCCCATGTTTACAAGTCGGGCAGGAGCAGAAACACACCTACCTTCCCTTGGAGGCAAGTGGCCGAGCACCGCCCTCACCCCTGACAGCCCTCTCCTCACTGGGCAGGAGAACAGGGCAGGCTGGATGGTAGGCCGGTGAAGTAACCAGGAGAATCATGATTGAAAGCAGTGTGTTTTAACTCTTTCCTCAAGGGTCACTTTCTGGGGGTCCCAGGAGGGCCTTTGTTTTGCACTGGCTGCTCTTTGGGCAGCCTGGATCATGCGCATTTCACGCTAGCATCCACTGAGGTCTGGGGAGAGCCAGAGCTCTCAGGTGGGACCCCTGCTCCTCTGGCAAACTGGTGCCAGGCTGTGCGGTTTTGGGTCGCGCTGACTCGGGTAGAGGGCCTTCCACAGAGAGCCAGAAGGCCTTGGGCAGCCTGCTTCCCTTGTCTCCTCCCCTCCCCCTCCCCCTCCCCCATTCCATCCCCCATTGGCTCCCCAGCAGGTGATGACTGTGTCCTCTCGTAGGTCTGTAACATAGTGGCGGGACAGAGATGTATAAAAAAGTTAACAGACAATCAGACCTCAACCATGATCAGAGCAACGGCCAGATCGGCCCCCGATCGGCAGGAGGAGATCAGTAAATTGGTAAGCACTGTGTTCTTGGGGGGTCAGTCATGGGGTGGGGCAGACCGGATGCTGGAGTGGACAGAGGGCCCTACCCCATCTGACCCCACCTTCTCTCTTTTTCCCTTTTCAAGATGCGAAGTGCAAGCTTCAACACCGACCCCTATGTCCGTGAATTTGGAATCATGGTCAAAGATGAGATGACAGATGTGACGGGGAGGGTCCTGCAGCCACCCTCCATCCTGTATGGGGGCAGGGTAGGTGTGGCGTGGGGGCAGGTGAGCCTGCCTGACACTGGTGGGACGGCAGTCAGCTCCTTCTGTTCCTTGTTGGTAACTGCAGTGCAGACAGACCGTCGGTCCAGGATTCCTTCTGCTCCAAGTTGTGCCTGCCTTCTTGCTTGCGTTCTTCCTTTCTTCCTTCTTTCATGGTGCTAGGGTTTGAACTCGGGGCCTTGCACTCCCCCTCAGCTTGCTTGCTCATGGCTGCTCTATCACTTGAGCCACTTGGCATTTTGCTGGTTAACTGGAGATGGCGTTGCTGCCTGGGCTGGCTTCTAACCAAGGTCCTCCAGGGCTCAGCCCCTGGGCCCCTGGCTGGATGGCACCTTTGAGGCCTGAGATTTCATGAAGACTTGGCCATGCTGTATTTTTGGAAAGACACTGGAATTACTTTGAATGTTTTCAAAACACTACTCTTTCCCATCAAGGTGCTTTTCTTCCTGTGCTAAGTTCTCTACCAGAGCTGAGCTATTTTCTAGAGTTTTATCCTGTTTTCCTGGTGTTTAACTTTCTGAGAAAGCTTTGCGGGTACTTGGTAGCAAGCCAAGTTAGAGTTTTTTGTTTCTTTTTGAGACAGTCTTTTTACATGGCACGGGCTGGCTGAGAACCTGCCCCGGCTCTGCAGCGCTCCGGTGATGGGTGTAACACTCAACTTCTAGTCTTTATGTGTGACTCGGAGTCCTGGCCCCTGACCCCTACAACTGCAATGCTCTTATTCCCTCTGGGAGCAGAACTCTGAGTTCCTTGGGGACCAGTGTGGCTGGCAGTCCTGGGAGCCAGGGCCTCTTCCTGGGGCCTGGGCTCCTGAGGCATAGACTAATCAGCAGCTGGTGCTGGAGAAGGCTCTACCGGCCTTCGTCCCTTCCCCAGCCTGCTGCCGTTCCACCCCAGTCCTGAGACCTGTAGCAATGTATTCTACTTTTTTTTTTCTCTTACACAATGCATGCTTGTGTTTGAACGCTGAGTTTGAATCCAAGGCTGCGGTTCTATGTATTGAATGGGAATGGGTAGAGGTGCAAAGCATTTCTGCAGCATTTTATTGGCGGAAACACCCCCTCCCTCCAACCTGTCCTACGCCTTGTCCCCTGTCACTGGGAGCACTCTCAGTGGAAAAATGAAGCACCATGGGCAGCAGAGGCTTAACCGGGTGGCTTTGCCCCGGGGGTGCCTGGCAGCGTCTGGAGACACGTTTCATTGTCCCAGCTCCAGGCAGGTGGGACTGAGACACCGCATGGGGAGAGTGCTGCCCTGTGGTGCACTCGCAGCCCAGCGCCAGGCTTGCTGTACTTGGCCACACCCGGCTTGTGAGGGGCTCCTGGGAGGCCATGTGTGTGACAGGCTGGTAAGACACCAACTCTGGCAAGTCTGTGTTCTGTAGTGACCCATGCAGGTCTAGGACAACAGCTTTGCTCCTCTAGGTGGCCCCTCCTGGAGAGCCACATGAAGGTGGTCAGATTTCATGGCGTCTTTCTTTCGGCAGATGTGTGGCTTGAGATTTCTCTTGGAAATGGAGAGGCTTCTGTGCCTGGCACAGTGGCCAAGCAGAAGGGTTCGGTCATGCACGGACAGACAGTAGACTGACATTGGAAAGGGGAAGGATGGACGGGAGGGAGGGCAGTGGGATGGTTGGTGTGTGTGTGCACGTGCGTGTGCGCACAGTGGGTGTGCAGACACATGCAGAGGGAGGTCCTAGCTCACCTAGCCTCCTTGGGCGCCCTGGGGAGAGAATTCTGATGCCGCAGGAACTCTCCTCCATGCATCATCTCTCTCCCTTTTCCCGTGCAGGCTGGTAAGGGGCACGGCAGCACGGTCATGATCGAGCTCCAGCACTGTCAAAGCAAAACTGACCGGGCCCCTGTTTCCCACTTGTTCTCACTTGTTGCTCATTCTCAACTTCGTGCTGTTTGCAGAACAAAGCGATCGCCACCCCTGTGCAGGGCGTGTGGGACATGAGGAACAAGCAGTTCCACACAGGCATTGAGATCAAGGTGTGGGCCATCGCCTGCTTTGCACCCCAGCGCCAGTGCACCGAAGTCCATCTTAAGTAAGCCCGCTTCCAGACACCCCAGTGTTCGCCCTGCTGGACAGGCAGGGATTGGTGACTAACAAGAAGGTCCACCTGGTGGGGTGGGGCTGTCACCTGGGTTCTGATGTGGGAGATTGTCAGTCATTGCCTGACCAAGAGCTCCTGTCTGGGTTAGACTGGTCCAGGGTTGAGGTCACCTGAGTTGTGGTTCTCGGGAACTGAGATTCCAAGTGGTATGGACTGCAGATGAGCAGTACAGCCCCTGTGCGGGAAGTTGGAAAGTATAGGCAGAAGCTGAGTCTCAGGTACTTCGGAGTTGAAAATTAGGAAGGTTTCAGTTTGAGGCCAATCCTGGCAAAAAGTTAGCAAGATCCCACCTCAGGAAACAAGGTGTAGTGGTTCCTTTCTGTAATCTTAGCCACACCAGAGGCCATAGGGTAAGAGAACTGAGATCTGAGGCTGTTTTCTATCACCTCGCTGGCTTGTGGGAGGGGTGGATTGTAGTCTCTTCACCCCACTTAACTTATGCTAGTCACGAGCTGGGACTTGGGTTTCTGGCTTTGTCTGGGACTTGGTGTGGTGGCCCGCGATGATCATGCCAGCACGTTAGGGGCTGAGGCGGGAGGATTGAAATGAAAGTTCAGAGCCAGCCCGTCTACTTTGCAAGAGCCTGTCTCCCCAAAAGAAAGAAGGCACCTTACATCTGCCCTCTGTAGACACGCTTCCGGCCTCGTTGGTGGGTGCCATTTCTTAGGGCCGTGGTGGCACTGGGCATTTGTTGTCACTTGGCTGTGCCTGTTAGTGAAGCGGACCTTCTCCTTCAGATCCTTCACCGAGCAGCTCAGAAAGATCTCAAGAGACGCAGGGATGCCCATCCAGGGCCAGCCCTGCTTCTGCAAGTACGCCCAGGGTGCGGACAGCGTGGAGCCCATGTTCCGTCACCTGAAGAACACCTATGCCGGCCTGCAGCTCGTGGTTGTCATCCTGCCTGGCAAGACCCCTGTTTACGGTAGGCTTCAGAGCCGGGGCGCTCCGTGGGTGTGGGGCGCAGCCTAAGCTTCTCATGAGGCTGAAAGAAGGGGAGTTCTGATACCTTAGGTCAGCTTCTTGTCTGAGGCCACAGAGCTGGGCTTGGAGGGGCGGGGGGGGGGGCAGAGCTGGGATGTGATGTGGTGGGTGGTGGGTGAAGATCACCCTGGGTGCATGCATCGAGGTCCCTCACATCCTGCCAGAGGATGTTCAAAGGAAGTTCAACCCTCCCGTGGGAGGGGTGAGGCTCCTGCCCAGGGGCTTTGGCGGGAGAACCTGGGGAGCGGGGAGGGAGCTGGGGAGCAGATGGAAGCAGCTCCTGCTTGGTAGGTGCAGCCGGAACGATTCCGATGATCCCCGATTCCCCACTGGCCAGAGGCGCTCTGCAGGCCCCTGGAGCCCCAAGTCCTACTCACAACTCCCACTTTAGCCTCCAAGCAAGGAAGGGGAAGGTGCCAGTGTTGCCCGGGAACAGAGCTGCAGGGTCAGTGGGCCCAGAGGCACTTTGATGTCACGCCGCCTTTGCCAAGGCCTCTGAGGAGCTGGTGTTTTTATTTTTATCCACCCAGCCATGTTCTGTGACAGGAGGTGGCATTCCTGCCCAGGAATGCCAGGCTCTGGCTTCTGCCCGCCCGCCCTGGGCCTGGGCCGCATTTTATTTTTATTTATTTATTTTTGTCGGTCGTGGGGCTTGAACTCTGGGCTTGGGCGCTGTCCCTCAGCTCTTCAGCTCAAGGCGAGCGCTCTACCACTTGAGCTACAGCGCCACTTCCGGTTTTCTGGTGGTTTATTGGAGATAGGAGTCTCACGGTCTCTCTTGCCTGGGCTGGCTTTGAACTGCCATCCTCAGATCTCAGCCTCCTGAGTGGCTAGGATTACAGGCGTGAGCCACCAGCGCCCAGCCTGGGCCACATTTTAAATGGCTTTAAGGCACCAACTGGAGGGGCGAGGGGAGCCTCCCGCCCTCCCTGTGTAGGGCACAGTGGTGCCGGAACCACACGGCCAGCGCCCAGCCACCCTCCGTCTGTCCGTCAGCAGCGTCTCACTGTGCTGCGGTCAGGCAGGGCCGGGCTCCTGCGGGCGCTGCAGCGTATGCCCCTTGAAACCCCACAGCCGAAGTCAAGCGTGTGGGAGACACGGTGTTGGGCATGGCCACGCAGTGCGTGCAGATGAAGAACGTGCAGCGAACCACGCCGCAGACGCTGTCCAACCTCTGCTTGAAGATCAACGTCAAGCTGGGGGGCGTCAACAACATCCTGCTGCCCCAGGGCAGGTGAGGGAGCCCCGCCGCGGTGGGTGAGGGGCGCTGTGCAATGGATGTGGGCCGAGCGCCATCCTGGACACCCTGGAGCAGAGGGGGCCTGGGGTTTACTCCTGACCCAGGGCCGAGCACGGCCACTGGCCGGGCAGAGCCATCGAGCCGACAGGAGTCGGTGGCATGGTGAGGTCTGTGGGGGGCTGGGTCCCCCCACACAAGCCTGTGGCCACGATTGAGGGCCCACAGAGATGGGGAGCCCGGTGCTGCTCTTGTGTTTATCAAGCGCTTGCCTGATGTCCACGTGATCTGTGTCCCCTTGGTGGGAGGGTGAACTCACGAGGTGAGGGGCTGGGCTCCATGTAGGCTGGAGGGTCTTTCTAGAAGGTAGCATGTGGTCAGACTCCAGGTGTCCAGGGAAGCGGCTTTGGGGTTCCTGGAGCAGAGCCCGTGGCACAGGGCTGACGCTGCGGAGGGGCAGAGCCCTCGCGTGAGTGCATTGAGATCATCGGGGTCAGGGTCACTGCCCCACTCTGCCTGCACTGCACACTGGCCTCAGGGAGAACACGGCCGTGTCTAATGTTCTCCAGTGGCGTGAAGTAGCACCTGGAGGCTGACAGGGAAGGCAGCGGCCTGAGGAAGGGGGGAAAGAGAGGGAATGATGCTATGCAGCCTCCTCGCAGCCCCTTCCTAACTCAGAGCAAGTGGCTGGAGGGCGAGAGGAGATACCGGGCCTGCAGGGAGGTAGAGGTGTGGGGTGCTGGGCCCTCCGTGCCTGGTCCCCATCCCTGGCACCATGGCCTCGTCAGTCTTGTGGGGGGGCGTTCTGCTCCTCTCCCTCTGTCCTGGGCTGTTCTGTGGCACATCCTTGGACTGAGTTGCTTCTGGGAGGTTTTCTGGTGGACCGTTGTGTTGTGTTACAAAGCTGCACTGCCCATTTGTACCAGCTGGAGAGACAGGCAGTGTGGGTCCCAGGTCCCTGTGCCAGGTCTCCCGCCTCAGCCCCCTCTTCCTGCCTCCCTGCAGGCCTCCTGTGTTCCAGCAGCCTGTGATCTTTCTCGGAGCCGATGTCACCCACCCGCCTGCTGGGGACGGGAAGAAGCCGTCCATCGCCGCCGTGAGTGCCAGCGCTTTCCTCCAGGCCCTCTGCGGCCTCGGCAGGGAGTCTTTCTGAAGGGCATGGGGGAGGTTCTGGGGGCAAGTCAGTGTTGGGAGGGTGCTGGCAAGCTATGAAGGGCTCTCAGGGGTGCTGGTCTCTGCCAGCTTGGGTCCTGCCCCCGGCACCCCGGGGCTCAGGGCTTCACAGAGGAGCGGGATGGCTCCCGGCTCAGCAGGAGGTGCTCGGCACTGTGGCCACACGGGGTGGATGTAAAAGGGCTGAGCCAAACCCGTGTTTGGAATGAAGAGCGCGTTTCCCAGAGACACCAGCTCTGTGGCTGGGAACACTGAGTGCAAGGGTGGTTTTCGTTCTCGTTCATCTGAAACCTCCTGAGATGCTTTGGCCTCCCAGGGAGAAGGATCTTAGAGAAAGCCCAGGTTGAGAACTGGAATCAAAGGCCCCGTGGGGTGTGTAGGCCTTGGGGTATGGTAACCCCAGCACCCTGAGTGAGGGAAGCCCCAGCCTCGACCCTGAACCCCGCACAGCCTGGAGACGGCTGCCGCCGCCACTCTGCCATTGTGCGTTTTCTCCTGCTCACCTGTGATCATTGGGGAAGCCAGTGTGGCGAGGCCCAATCAGATACCCACGCCATCCAGCCAGCGTGGTGAACGCCCTGGCGAGACAAAGCCTCCACGTGTGCCCTGTACACTCGCATGCCTTTCAAGCGTGCCGCACTCCTTGTGTGGCCTTAGTCACAGTGTCCACACCCTGGTGTGAGCTGCGTTCCCGGCCCTTTCCTTCCTCCCTGCCATCCCTGTGCTCTGGCTTACAGAGGAGGAAGTGGGCTCCGGCATGGGGTCCCGGCTGCTTGGCTTGGCAGGTTCTGGCCTGGCCTCCCCTGGTCCCCGATAGCTTCCTTCTGGACAGATCAGATGAGTGTAAGGAAGGTGCGGCTCTGGCACAGGAGGCTCAGATAGTGCTCATCGAATCCTTGAGAGCAGAGTCTGTCCTTCCGGCGCCCACAGCTCCCCATCACAAGGGGCTTCTGTTTAAGTCAGTGTTTTTCTGTTGACAGCCTTTCAGGCTGCTTATTTTTACTTAGATTGAGAGAGAAGTGGTTGCCCCAGAAGGGCGAGCTGGGGGCACGGGGCATTTCCGGCAGCGCGTTCCCCACAAGCAGCGACTCGGGCCTCCGTGCAGGGCTCCCAGCCGCGCTGTGCTCACACTGTCACCCTGACCCTTAGCTGCGGCCTGCCATCAGTGGCCCTGCCCTTCCTGGGTACCAAAGACATGAGATGATGTGTGTTGAGTTGGAAAACCATTTGGTCTTGAGCTACAGCCTGTCCCGTAGCTTCCTTTGGCTGGATGAGAGGCTGCTGTCTGCAGCGGAGCATGTAGAAAACCGGTCTGCTTTCCTTGCGTTCCTCAGCATGACTTCGGTTCTTTAGGATGTACTTAGGAACCCTTGCTTCACACACCCAAAGAAAGTCACGAGTGGTGTTGGCCTTTGCTGGGCTAGACCTCTGAGAAGCTCTGCTCACCTGCCGGCGGAAGAAGGCAGAAGGCAGCCCGGGAGCCCTTGTCCTGGGCTCATTGCTTTTCTCCGCAGGTTGTGGGCAGCATGGACGCACACCCCAACCGCTACTGTGCCACGGTGCGCGTGCAGCAGCACCGGCAGGAGATCATCCAGGACCTGGCAGCCATGGTGCGCGAGCTGCTCATCCAGTTCTACAAGTCTACACGCTTCAAGCCCACCCGCATCATCTTCTACCGTGACGGTGTCTCCGAGGGCCAGTTCCAGCAGGTAGGCTGTCCTGCCTGGATGCTGCAGGGCCGTCGCACCTGCACACCCCCGTGCGTACGCACGCGCGTGCACACATACCAGTGCCTCGTCCGACACACCTGGTCTCTGTGGGGTCATTTCCCTGTTGCTGATGCAAGGATGGATGCAGCCGCTCTCCTCCCACTGCGGCTGTCACCCTGTGGAAGGCCAGTTGGGGTGCGGACTCACAGAGACCATACAGCCCTGGCACTGGTTGGACCCATAGCGTGTTGGGTGGCATCCGTTGTGCCTGCAGCAGGTGGCTGGCTGAGATGTGGTCACGGCGAAGGCAGAAAATAAGTGGGGGGGGTGGGGAGAGGCCTGGTGCTGGCAAAAATTCCACGGCGCAACATGGAGCACTTGGTTTCTCGGCCCTGGGTGACGAGATCCCCTGGGAGCCTCAACTCCGCGCCACAGGAGCCGCGCCCCGCTCCTCCCCTGTACGGCCTCTTATGCCCAGCCTCTGTTTGTTGCTGGGCTCATGGCTCTCTGCACCCCAGCCCTCCTTCCTGCCTCCTCCACTGGCACCCCGGTAAACACATCATCTCCCAGAATCCCTGTGACTGAGTTTTCCGCCTCCAGAATGCCAGGTGTTTCCGAAACATTTTAGCACGGTTTTTGTTTGTGACTTGCTACTCAGGAGGCTCTAGTAGGACAAGCAATTGAGTCCAGGAGTGTGAGGCCAGCCCGGGCAAGTAACAGCTAAAACCTAAAGTGGCCCAATCCTGTAATCTCAGCTACTAGGAGGCAAAGATTGGGAGGACTTCCGCTTCAGGAGGGCTTGGCTAAAAGTTAGCAAGACCATTCCTCTCAACAACACAAGCTGGCCATATGGTACACCGTAGGAAGGAGGATTACAGTCGGAGGCTGACCTTTGGCTGAAGTGGTACAGTGCCTGCTGAAGAAGGGCTTTGAGCCCCAGTACCCCCCGCAGATAAGTAACGGGTGTCTGCCTCACGCGACTTGAGGCTCGCCCTTCAAGTGAAGGAATTGGAGGTCAGTTCATGGTCCTCCCAGGTTATATCGCGCTATGTGATGGCAGAGACCGATTTGAACTCAAATCCAACTCCAGAGAGTTTTCTATCAGATCTTACCTTCCTCTTCATAACAGACAAACAAGGCTAGCAAGGGGCTAACGTGTCCGGTAGTGCCTCATCACTCTGAGGGGCACGGGCACCGTTTCCCCGCTGTGGAGAGACAAGGTTCTAATGCTGTGCCAAGCACTTGTCCTGCACTTTCTAACGGGCCCCGGGGGATGTGGCGCTGTCATGAGAACGTGAGCTCCAGAGGGAAGGTTGCACACCAGTGACGTGCCCGCGGAACGGAACTGTCTAGCCTGTGTCGGCTAGTGGGACACATTGTTGGGGGTTCATCTTTAGCACGAGGCGCCTCAGCCCGGTCCTCCTGCTCTCCCTCCCTCATAGGTCCTCCACCATGAGTTGCTGGCCATCCGCGAGGCCTGCATCAAGCTGGAGAAGGACTACCAGCCGGGGATCACGTTCATCGTGGTGCAGAAGAGGCACCACACGCGGCTCTTCTGCACTGACAAGAACGAGCGGGTGAGTGCCCGGTGAGGCTCAGCCTCCCTGCAGGCTGCCTCTGGCCTGGCTTTCATGGCGCCTGTCCTCCGAGGGGCGTGACGGGGACTCAGGCAGGGAGAAGTCTTAGTCAATCTGCAGACTTGGGACAGCCTAGGCATGAGCTGTCACTCCTTGGGAGAGAGCTCTGAGAAGGAGCCAGCCAAATGGTGGAGCTGGCCCACCTGGCAATGGTTGCACATCCTGGAGGGCCCTAGGCTCAGCCAGCCACCGCCACAGCTCTGCACCCAACAGGCCAAGAGCATGGCCTGCAGCTGCACACTGAGGAACACGCCGTGCTCCCTCCCTCCGAGGGCCACAAGGGCTCCACGGCTAGAGGAAGGAGCTGGCCAGCATGAGGCCGCAGCCGGGGGGGGGGGGGGGGGGGGGGGGGCGGTCCTGAAGCCACACGGCCAGCTGGCCAGCTAGCGTTACGCTAACATTCAACGGGGGAGAAAAGGCAAAGGCTGAGCAGCTTTCAAAGAGACATTGAGAAGCCCTACTATCAAAGAGGGTGATGGTACACCGACATGTGAGCGATTGAAGCAGGTGAAAAGAGCGAGCTCCGAACACTGGAAGAGTGAACCAGCCGCCCAACAGCTGTGCGCCGTGGAGCCCCCAGGGTTCCAGCTCGGGTCCTGGCCTGGGTGAATGGTACTCAGAGCCAGACACAACCACATTCTAGTCAGCAGTGAACGTGAAGCTCAAGAGCACAGCTTTCAGCTTTTCAGTGTGAAGCACTGGACGTGTCATGTCATGACCATGGAAATGGGGGAGCACTCGCAGCCAGCAAACACTGAAGAATGTTCACGAGCACCTCACACTAACAAAACCCCGCGGTCTGTAAAGTAGGGCCTGGCAGCCTGGGAAGACAGGCGGGAAGGGGAAGGCAGCCTCCGCCCAGAGCGTAGAGGGGAAGCTGCAGTGCCCGGCTCACCTCTGCCTGCCCCACACACCTGTACCCCAGACCACTCCCCAGATTGGACAGCAGTGGAAATAGAAAATGAGGGTACAGTGAGGAGATGAAAATCAAACATGCTTGAAAATACAATAAGACTCCTTCATTATATGGGGTTTTGACCAAATGATGTCAAAAAGGAATAATATTTATTTAGTCAGTCATGGGGCTTGAACTCTGGGCCTGGGCGCTGTCCCTCAGCTCTTCAGCTCAAGGCTAGCGCTCTACCACTTGAGCCACAGCGCCATTTCTGGCTTTTTCTGTTTTATGTGGTGCTGAGAAATCAAACCCAGGGCCTCATGCATGTGAGTTAAGCATTATACCACTGAGCCACCTTCCCAGCCCCAATACTAATTTATTTAATCCAAAGAAATTTAATTTCCACATGTGGATGGCGGTGCAGTTGGTCAGCTGAGCAGGAGTGGGTGGCCCGTTGTACTTAGTCCTGCAATGTGCACAGTGTTGCTCTTCATTCTGTGAGAGCCTGCCTCCCAAAGAGCAAGGTAAAAAGGCTTGCGCCTAAGTGAAGTGACGGTGAGCATCAAGCCGGGCTGGAAGGCTCCATGTGTAGAGGAAGCAGGTGAATGGGAGGAGCATCCCCTGGCAACACTAGGCTCTGAGCAACTCCATGGTGGTTCTCCTTGGAGCCAGGAAACCATGGCTACCAAGGGGCTCTTGTAGACCCAGCTGCAAGCAAGAGTATACCACACCCGTACTGGGAGCAGGAAAGGAGCCACAGCTGCAGAGAAGACAGAACGTGCAGTCATGGGATGTGCGTCTATCTGGACACTCAAGAACGGGTATTGGTGTTTGCGGAATTATATATTCCTAAAGTCAGCTCAAGAAGATAAATCCACTCATTGTCATCAGCTCCTCCAGTCCCAGTGTTTGGTGTCCAGAGCGCTGCACAACCAGCTTGACAGCCCTACAGCCTGCAGGGAACGAGGGGAAGTTGCTTGCTCATCTTGAGAGCCGTGTCCCCAAAGCTGCAAGGGACAGAGAATATGAACTCGTGTGTGTTTGCCCGCAGGCATGCGAGCCCCACCTGTCGGGCTCGTGCTCAGGGGCGGAGCTGGCCTCTGCCCCACCTCCAGGCGGGAGCAGGAGGTCCTGAGAGCTAACACAACACGGGCCGGTCCTGGCATCGTCCCCGCAGAAGCTGGTGTGTGCTGTGGAAGGGAGTACAGATGATAACCAGGTGGCAATTCTGGATGTGTAACTGCAAGAAAGAAACGCATGGGTCTGAACACAAGAAGCTGTGAATGGAATCATTTGTGGGAGTCTTTCATTCCCACTCCCTGTGTGGGGAGCAGGAAATGTTTCTCATCTCCATTTCTCCCTCCTCTAACTCTGTTATACTAAAATAAGTGCTTGCTATAATAATATTTGATGGCTATACTGTTAGCAGTATGAGAAAAAAATTAAGATGTATCCATCCAACAGCACAAGACATGATGACTGTGTTCACATATTAATATTCAACACAGCAAAGGAATACTAATGAGCTGTATCATGGACATGTCTAAAAATTGTAACATTATGTAAAACCAGCCAGTAGCTGGTTTGTGATATACATATATATATATAACATATATATGTTATATATATGTATGTTATATATATGTATAATATATATACATTTGTGTTATACATATATATAAAATTTCTGAGCCAATCCAATACTCGTAGTGTGTACTTTCATTTTTTTAGCGTTTGCATGTGCATAATGAGGTCTAAACATTAGGTCATTCATGTGCACAGTCTTTCTGTTTACCTGTGTTTTCTCTGTCACCTGTCACGGGGGTCAGGTGTAGAATCTTCCCTGTGTCTTCATGTGGGCATTTGAAATGTTCCCAGTTTGGGACCATTTCACACTTACACGGGTGAGAAGCTCCACTAACTTGTGTGTGGAGTGTTAAGTCTGTGCAGACAGGGTAGGATGGATCTAGGATACATACAAAGGTGCCACAGTTTCTAAATTCTTGAGTCCTTCTTAGACACGTGAGAGTCAAGTAAAATTGGAAAGAACTTAATGTAAAGATGCACGAGGTAGTGGGGCTGTCTTTTGTGTGGTGTCTAAAGCCATTTACAACTAAAGCTCTCTAGGGCGTGGCTGGCTTGGGGTGGGGGCGGAGCCATTGCATAGTTACCTGGTTTAGTAACTACTTCTCCCCCACCTGATTTTGAGAGCTCTAAAACCGCCTGTCCTCCAGAAGCCTCTGGCACCACTGAGGCTCTAATGCGGACATCTGTGGCCCTCTGTGGCCCGGCTCCTGCCTCCCGCCTCCCGCCTCCATTGCCGGGAGAGCGTGCTGGGGCCTAATCAGAGGAGGGAAGACCCCCGCCCTGTGTGTGGCTGGCAGTTTCCATCTTGGCTTCAGATCAAAATAGCCCCGGTGATCACCAAAACCTCATAAAATCTTGTGGGTCCTGAATTAAACTACACTTTAACTCATGCAGCCTGAAATGGGAACAATAGCCCAAATGGCAGTTTGCGGGTTTTTTCTGTTGTCGGTACTCGGTTTTGTTTTAGCACTGCCCGGCTGAGCGAATGCATTAACACATTTTGAAAGCTCACACGGGCCAGCTGAGGACAGGCGGCGCTCGCTGTGGTGCCCGCCACCGCCACCCGCCACGCCCGTGCTGCCCACCCACCTACCACATCTGACGAGGCTGCTGTGTTGCTGCAGGTTGGGAAGAGTGGGAACATTCCAGCAGGCACCACGGTGGACACAAAAATCACCCACCCGACAGAGTTTGATTTCTACCTGTGCAGCCACGCCGGCATCCAGGTGAGGACCAGGGTCCCCGTGGACAGAATGTGTGGCATCTGCCACACTATCCATGTGTGCAGTGAGCTCTGGAGCTCTGCTGGGCACTGGAATTGGCGCGAGCCATACAGATAAGGCTGCAACCCTGCGCAGCTGTGCTCTGCCTGGGGACAGGCCTGAGCTGGACTCCTGGGAGCTGAGGATCTGAGCTGGGCGGAAGTTGGGGCTGGCCCCCAGAGGCCCCCTCAGGCTCCCGTGGACGACATCCTGTTTTACATGCCGTGGGGCCTGCGAGCGGTGAGGGCCAGGGCCGGGATGCTTGTGGGGCCAAGGGAAGTCGCATGGCTGGAGTTTGTGAGCTAGAAGATGAGGCCTCACTGCTGATGCGGGCTGGGCGTGCCAGGCCACCCTGGCGGGGTGATGGGCGCAGAAGACGGGCACCCACTGGCTCCCCTGAGCTCCCAGGGGAGGGACGCCTACATCTGGCCAAGAGGGAGCCACATAAGCATGACCACTGAAGTGCCGCATGTGTCCTTGGAGCTGAGCCACCAGCTCTGCCTCGTCACCCGGGGATGAGAGGCGCCCCGGCTGTATGCCCACGTAATTGTGGAAGGCTCTCGATTTTTCAAAGGCCAAGGAAAGACTTAAATCCAGCCCCACCCTACTCTAACTTGAGAATTTGCTATGAACTGTCACAGTCCCTTCAAAAATATAAAGCCTTCCAATCCACAGCGTTCACGCTGCCTGAGGGTAGAGAATTATGGCCCGGTCCCACCCACAGCCCATTTTGGATTCATCCTGAGAGCCAGAGGACTGTGTGACAGGACCCGTGTCCGTGGGAGGGGCACGGACGTCCTGCTACCGCTCCTGGCTCCTTGTCCTGTCCAGAGGCCGCCAAGATTGCCACGCGGAGGCTGGCTGTGTGGGCTCTCAGTCTTCGCCCTTTTTGTGACCACCCTCTGTGGTTTCTGTCCTGGCCAGCAGGCCCCACCCTCCAAGGCCTCTTTGGCCTGTTGTTCTGCTCAAGGACTTCATAACAGGGACACCACACTGCTGGTGGCAAGTCCCTCAGGCTGGCACTGCGTGGCTGTGCCCTGGAGAGCCAAACTACCCACTCAGACGCAGACTGCCCGTACTGAGTCCTCAGTGTCGGGTGTGCCTGGAAAGAAAGCCTCTCCAGCCGTCCATCTGCCAGATGAATAGGCTGCTCTAGGCTGGTCTTGCGGATTGGCCTCCTGGTGAAGTGGGGCGGGGCGGAGGCGCTAGGGCCTGGTCCCATGGCCTCCTCCATGAGGGAGAATGGGTGTTTCCACTCCCTTTAGAAAATCCTTTCCCATGTGCACCTTTCAGCAGAGAGTTTTTTTGCTTTTTCTTCTTGCGGTTATCAATAAAACATAAAATATTTAACATACCCAGGCACATTGTCCTCAGTTCATCTATTTTTTAATATTAAAACTTCTTTTTGGTCTCAGTGTGATTTGAATTTGGGGTTTTGTACTTTCTAGGCAGATACTCCACCACTTGAGCCACACTCCCTATCCTGCTTGCCTTAGTTCTTGGGGGTTTAATAAGATCTCTAGACTGTGAACCTTTTGCTTACTTCCAAGGCTGGTGCTCTACCATTTGAGCCACAGCTCCATTTCTGGCTTTTTTGCTAGTTAACTGGTAAAGAGTGTCCCCAGGTTTCCTGGCCCAGGAGGCTGGCTTTGAACCTTGATCTAGCTATTCTTCCGTGGCCTTCTCCAGAAAGGACCCCCGCCATCGCCCCGCCCCCCGCCCCCTCCGCGCCGTGCCTGACCGGCAGTGCTCTGCTTGGCCTGCAGGGGACGAGCAGGCCCTCTCACTACCACGTCCTTTGGGATGACAATCGCTTCTCCTCGGATGAGCTGCAGATTCTCACCTACCAGCTGTGTCACACCTACGTGCGTTGCACGCGCTCCGTGTCCATCCCAGCGCCAGCCTACTACGCTCACCTGGTGGCCTTCCGGGCCAGGTACCATCTGGTGGATAAAGAACACGACAGGTGAGGGTCGTGGCTGTTGTGGCGGGGAGGGTTTGCTTGTTGATGGGGCGGCTGTCTTTAGAGTAGGTGGTGGCGGTGGTGGTGGCAGCGATCGGCAGCTTGGGGCCTCTGCTCCCATTCTAGCTGCGGCAACCCTGGCATCACTCTCCCTCTCCTCGGTGTCCCCACAGTGCCGAAGGAAGCCATACCTCTGGGCAGAGCAACGGGCGCGACCACCAGGCCCTGGCCAAGGCAGTCCAGGTCCACCAGGACACACTGCGCACCATGTACTTTGCCTGATGTGTAGCGTTGAGCGGTGCGTGATGCCCACGGATTCACACGAGACCAGCTACTCAGACCAACAGCCGCCCAGCCCTTCCGCCACAGCCAGCATCGAACATGAGACGTCATTGGTGTTACTCAATTCTCCATTTTCCAGAATGCCTTCCGTCCCAGATTTCAGACTTGGATTTTGAACTGCAGACCTGTAAGAGACCCCCATTATCGTAGGAAATATGGTTTGCCAAAATCTAGAAGCTGCTTATTAAAATAGAGTCCCGTGTTTCCTAAAAAAAAAAAAAAAAAAAAAAAAATCCCCTAAAACCAGTTTATGAACTCAGGGCTTTAAAACATTTTAATTTATTTGGTCATTCAATTTACTTGTTTTTAACACATGATTCTTTATGAAATTGTTGGGAGAGGGAAGCAACACGAAGCACGATAGGGGTTTTAAAGCCTTGAACCTTCTGACATCCCTAGAGTTGAGTTGTGGGGGGCGGTGTGGCGGGCGGGGGTGGAGGGGGAGCGAGGGGGTCCCCGCCCGACACGCCACGTGCGCCCCGCTGCGCCGCGGAGCAGCGGCCTGGGAGGGTCCTGCGTGTTTACAGCAGTGATGGCCCAGAGAGATTGGCAGACAAGTGCCGTTTTAATGAAAGTTTATTTAAAAAAAAAAAGAGAGAGAAGAAAGACAATATACCGACAGTCTAATCACAAGATTTGTCCTACAGGACTGTGACATTTATTTTCCAAAGTTTCTAAAGAATACGGGTCTGTGGTGATAAATACAGTACAATCCTTTTTCACTGTTAATGTCTTTTAATGTAAAAGAAAAAAATATATATCTGGTTTGCAGTATTAATGTGATAGGTAGACGCTGTTTTCCTTTGTGAACTAGGGGTGCTGTTTGTGACCTGTCCTGCGTAGCAGGCGTGGCTTGGTACCTCTGTGGCTCTTTGTGCTTGAGTACAGGAAGATGCAGCTGACTTGTTCATGTGACAGTGGTCTGTCCCCGGCGTGGGCCGCATAGCCCGGACCTCAGGCGGGCCGTGTGCACTTTGGTGAGGCGAGTTTCCTCAGATCTATGCACCGAAGCAGGCGGGGAGCTGCCGGGCGGCTCCATTCGCCAGGCTTGGAGGTGGGGTGCAGCCTGCCTGGCAGATTAGCCCCGTGCCTAGGCCGGTGGAGGGCACAGACCTTGCGGGCAGGATGTGCATCATTTGAAACCAGGGATGGCGGAAGGGTGTGTGCTAAGTAGGCGCTTTGTGTTTGTGCCCATGGGCGTGAGACTGGGGCTAAGGAAGGGCGGGTGTCCCCTGTGCTACTGTGCACTCTGTACCTCCCCTCCCTGCTCACGTCCCCTGAGGGGCGTTTCCTGGGCACCGTGAGCCTCCTCTTGCTGGGGCAGGAGCCTCCTCGGGCCCCTGCACCTGGGCTCCAGGTGGTGATGGGGGCTGTGGCATGTGAGTGTGTTCTCGCGGGGTATGCCTTTACCTGTAGGCCTCAAGAGGGAAGCTTTTGACCAGTAAGCTTTTAGACTCTGAAATTAGGTTGGGCTCAGCCGTTCTCAGAATCACTGGAGAACGCCTCTCCAAGGTAGAGGGGGAGGCCAGAGGGAGGGAGCCTGGCCCAAATGCAGATTCCCAGGCCTGCTGCAAATGTCCTGGTCAGGTGCTTGAGCCAGGCTGTCATCTGTGCTTCTAGCCATCCTTGAGCAGCCAGGGTTCTGAGGCTCGCCCCTCCCCCTCCCCCGAGTGCCATCTGAGCGCCGAGGAAAGCTTGCAGAGGCTGGCAAAGAAAAGTATCAGAAGTTTTTTTTGTTGTTGTTGTTTTTGTTTTTCATTCTTATCATTTTTGAAAGTGGTAGGATGCCAGTCTTGAGTGAAAAAAGCCAAGTGAGAGCTCAAGGCCCTGAGTTCAAGCCCCAACACTGGCATAAAAGGAAAAAAAGTGTTTTGAAGATAAAGTAGCTTTTCAGTGGCTGCCTCATCTCGCCCTGTGCTTGTTTTGTGGAACTTTGCATATTCAAAACATCCGCAGGCCAGCAGCCGATGAGGAGGCTGTGTACACCTGTACACGTCTGTTGACCGTGTAGAAATTAAATGGCTGTAGTTTCAATTTCTCAGGTAAATCATTGTTTTCCCAATTTTCTACCAGACCCCTGCTCTTTGCCCTTCCCCACAAGCATGAATCTCGAGACTGCAAAGCTAGGTCTGTTCTGTAGCCGCTGGCCCGAGGCTTTGCCCCCACCCCACCGTTAGGTAAGGTGTGCCTTGCTTCAAGCAAACTGAATGTGAAAAAAAGAAAAAGAAAGAAAGAAAGCTGATGTAGGAAACGGGACTCATTCCGAGGAAATGTAGGACTTAGGATTTAGTCTGTCTCTTCAAAAGAGGCCTCTGGATTGGATTTTGGAACTGGACTCCCAGCCACGCAGGCCTCTCCCCCTGGCACCTCCTCATGGTAGCCAGGCTGTGCGGCACCCCGGGAGGCACCCCGGGAGGCGGGAGGCATTCAAAGAGCCCCTGGTCACTGCGCAGACCCCACCCCCACCGCGGGCCAGCTGCGCATCTCCCTGCTTCCTACCAGACCTGTGAAGGCGGCCGGGCCCTCTTGGGCTGCTTTGCTTTCCTGTTCTGAAGTCTTTCCACACACACACTTTTTTGATACTACTTTAGAGTCTGTTTTGTCTCCTCCATATTTAGATGCTGGCCACTCCTCATCCTCCCCCGACCCCCAAACTGAAGGAAGGGCTTGGGGCCAGGGTTGCTGGTCCCCAGAGGGGTGGCCAGGCCGGAAGGAGCTGCGCTGTCCGCCCGCTGGCCCAGATGTTTACCCCATAGGGAGAGCTCCGCTCCTTGGTTGAGTCCCGCAGCAGGGGCAGGGCAGTTCTTATTCTTGTTGTATGTTATTTTATTGTTTTTAAATGCGAACGTTGCTATTTATTTTTTCCTTGGTTGCTCTGGCTTGACTTGGCCTACATGGGTATTCCGGTGCATGTGGTACCTGATGGATAATGGTAGAGGTCATTTTTTTCCCCAGCTTTTATAATTACCTGATGTTTACCTTCAAGTTTGCCGAATGGATTTATTTTTTGAAAGCCACAGATGTGATTTTTCTGGATGAATTGTTTTTCTTATATATGCAGCAGTGTGCTTTTGCATTGGTCTGCGGAGTGATTTAAATTTTATTTTTGCAAGGCAGTTTTTCAGTCAAATTCTATATTTGATACGATGTGTTTAAGGGTAGATCAGCCACAGGTCCTGCAGTCTGGAGCCCGAGTGTCTCTGGGAGGCCTTTGGGGCTGGGCAACCACCCCGGGAGCCCCTGGGGGCGGGTGGCAGCCCTCGCTGGTGACAGGTCGTCCCCTGCACGACCTTGGCCTGCTGCATGTGTCAAGGATTTTTGGGGCATTTTCCTCCGCGGAGTCCCAGGAGGAGCGCGAGGGTGACCGTCCCAACCCGCCTAGTGAGAATGCCAGTGGCCCAGACAAGCCATACGAAACCTGCTGCAACCTCTTGTCATCTCTTGTGCATGAGAAAAGGAATGTAGCGGAGACACCCCCCCTCGGCATCCATACAGCTCTCCTGCGGAATGCAAACACTCACTTTATATTTTAACCCCTTCCCTGGAGTCACTGAGAGCCTCCTCCCCCGCTGCCCGCAGCACGCTCTGCTCTGCGTGATGTGTTTTGCTGTGGTACAGGGGCGTGCGTCTCTGGTCGCGGGGCGTCTGTGACATGCATGCTGCCTCTCTAAGGCAAAGTTCTCCGCTCAGAACAATTGCACTGATCTTCTGACAGCCTCTCTGCGCCTGCTGTGCTTGTGGGAAGTGATCCAGAGCGATCACCATGGCAGGCGATGTGAATATGGGATGTGGCTTTGCTTCGGTGATTGCGCCATGCATTTCAGTGTTACAGGCTCATCGTGCGGACTTCTGGTCTGGTCTTGGGCCTCTGGGCCTCCACAGCTGTGATGGCCTGGCTGGTCCGGCCTCGTTTCCTATCCGTGCATGGGGGGGGGGGGGGG